TCCGCCACAACACTTACCTTCTGTGCTTTGCACAAGTGCGCTGACCCACGCCTTCTCCTTCGTCGCCGTCGGCATCGCCCACTTCTTCGCTCATGCGGTAGACTTAGCGCGCGGCGTCTTACTCAGATCTTTTTTCGGTGATAATATTGGCTGCTCTCGTCTCTCTGGTTTTGTGAAATTGGGTGAAGGGAAATCGTACTTATGACTTTGTTTAAGATCGTGCGAGATATTGCAGTAAGGAATGCTTAAATAAATTACCAGGCACAACAATGGCGTCTTGTGTTGCAATGTCGTTTGTGTTGCAGGAACGACTTCGGAGATAAATGCCAAATTTGTTGATTTTGAGCCTCCTCCCAATAAAGACATTTCGCACCAAGTTTTACTACTGTGTTGTAGAGTTTCAGCTTAAATAATACGATGCTCTCTGTATTGATAGCGTCGGGAAGCCACATGTTATTATTGCATAGTGGAACCACTATACCCAAGGTACTTGCCGGGAAATTGACAAAAGTAATATAGATTCAATCTTACATGACAAGATTAGTAGAAGTGGATGATGACAAAGTATTACCGGATACGAAATTAAATCAGCAGTATTCGCCAGTATCAGTGTAGATCGCTCTTACTTGCGATAACAAAATTTAAAATACACGCCGCATGTGTCAGCAGCTTACAAACGTTTCTAAACCAGTCATGAAGCAATTATCGCTCTTGCATCTAGTAAATTGGGTCAGCGCTTGCCGTTTGGGGTCGCCTGGTAGCGCTTGCACCTGCCAAACTTGCACTCTGGTCTGTTGCTTGACGTTGGAATTCTCGGGCACTCTGAGCCGTGCAGTATTTGGCGTCAAGTCCGCGTGAAGCCGAGACGAACAACTTTGCTTTACTTTTGTCTGAGAGAATAATGTCGACTACCTTTTTCTCCAAAATATCAAAAACCATTCGTAGTTATCGTTGTCTTCAGCTGGTACCAACGCAAAAGCGATAGTTACTTTCTGCATGTAAGCATCTCGACCTACGAGGTGCATTTGCAATCCGCCGTAGCATTGGCATTTTGAATGGTGATGGTGTTGATGTCGGAGGTGGCTGATAGAGCAGCAATTCTGGTGTCGGAGTTGGTGTCGGCGGATCGTCCGGCGTTGAAGGAGCTGCATATACTCGCGCAACTGGCGCTATGAAAACGACTGGCGGTTTAATCTCAATTCGGGGACGGATGGCTTCCAGCATTCCCACCGATTCCGACTGAAACAAGTCAAAGTTACCCGCCCAAGGCATATTCTTGTGTATTTCTAAGCAGCGTTACTAATAATATACTGTTTCTGTCGCCACTTGCAGTTTCTATAAACTGGTTTACTTACTGCTCGATACCACGGAATGTCTACTGTCGGAGATACTACTAGTGTTGTCAATCAAGATTGAATCTATACCACTCTTGTCAAATTCCCGCTCGCTATCCGCAGTGACTTGATTTCTGCCGGCTTGCGATGTTATTTGTCAATTTTCCGGCCAACACTGCAATACCACGTACACCTTCGCCCACTAAGGCATCAGCCACGTCGCGAAACATCCTAATGAATGAGCAGCGACGACAGATCTGCCGCCACAAAGCCGAAAGTCCATCATTGAGCCAGGTCCAGCTTGCGTTGGGGCTATTGGTAGCCAAATATCATATGACATTCTGAAAGTAATAGTACTATTCTCGATTTTAAATATCAATAGTAGCTTAGTTTCTCAAAAGCTAACGTAATATTTTAAAACTAACTCTGAGATTTGAAAAATATTAGGAACTACAGATAATGTTTTATAATATTTCCCGCTTAAGTACGTGTATTGACACTTTACCCTCTGTGAACCGAGGATTCACCAAAGAACTCTTTCGGTCAGGCTCTAAAGCAGCAGTAGTGATGGCAGGCCTTAAATCTGACGAGTATTTGCTCTAGTATCTTACTGTGACACTGCCAAAGCCGATCGAGATGGAAAACTGCAAACGGCTGTGCAGTAGTTGTTTGAAGTCGATAGAGCGAAATCAAGATATTTGTACTTGTTATCTGCCGATAGCCTCGTCCAGATCGTGCGTCTCATAAACCTGCAGCCTGTGACGCTAGATCAATGCGCTCAGTAGTACCAACACACCACACCAACCTTGCTGTGACAGCAAGGTTCCCAATATTCCCAATAAATAAAGCGGCTGAAATTCAGCCGCTTTATTTATTGGGAATACATGTACCGGTATCAAAACAGTCCGGATCGTCTGTATTGCTGACGTCGACGACACCGTGTCGGACAACGTAAGGAGATGAATAATGAAGGTCTGAACTTCATGACGAAACAGATCTCAGCTGAGATCAATTGTGCAGCATCTGGGCGACCACGATTATTTTGTGGTCAATTGTAAAGTGAAAATGCGCAATCGTTGTGGCTCCGCCCGGTTACCGGACTGGCTTTTCCATTACCGGTATCTCCAAAAAAAATGTGGTGAGCTGGGGCCATACCTTATGACGACTGGCTAAAATCTTGGTGCTTGTGGTTTCATGGTGCAACGTGAGCTGTGTGACACTCGCTGCTCAGAGACCAATCCCCAATGGGGATTCCCCATTACTTAAGTACGGTACATACACGGTGGCACTGTTACATTTTTTTTGTCCATATTAAATGACCATTTATCCACATCTTTGTATTGACCAGTGTTCCGAGGAAGCGAGTGAGTCGCGTAATGCTGCACTAAAAGTCATTAGAGCAGAATTTTGAAGATACTCCTCTTCTTGGTGAAAGCTGTGCGTACTTGAGGGTCCGAGTCTAACCTTTTACTGCGCAGCGTTCAAGAAGAACGAGGTTATAAATGAATGCTACTCCCGTCTGAAGTAACTTCTGAAGTAGAAAACGTCGGTGAAGTGTGCTGGAACGTGAGGATCTTTTAGAGAGGATGATTGCCGATATACCGGTATATTTACAAACCGTTTGTGAAGTCTGTGCGATATTTGCTGCATTTCGTTCCACTGCGCCCGAAGCTGTACAATCAAATAGGAAAGTTAAAAGGCTTGTTTATTTGTACACGTCTCTCAAAAGTACGTTGCCGTAAATCATTGTCGATCACGCTTTTATAAACTCGCATTATCGTAAATTCCACCACTTGTCACTTATAAATACAACAATTTTAATCTCGTTTTGCCTAAATCGCTCCAAAGCACAATAGTGTTTTTAACTAACTTAATAAGGGAGTGAGTGCTGCGCTTAACTGAGACGGACTCTTTCATGGAGGGAGTGAAATAGAAACAAAACGATGTACCGTAGCCGCAGCAAGGTTATTTGCGGAGGCGGGCCAGGCTCCGAGCTTTTCAGCGATCCGAGCATTGCACTCTCCAGGTATAATAAGAGAATCATTTATTGCAAAATTCCTGCCAGCGACTGCCTTTGCGAGCAAATCATAAAAGTACAAAATTTGTACTTCTTTTTCTCTAAGTACAGTAAAGAGCAAAATACGAGGAAACGGTACCGGTATCGGTACGCTGACTCCAATATTTGTACCGGTATACGTGTATAAGTACAAACTTTTCAAAGGATTAAACGATGCATCCTTGGCTTTGGAGCGCATCATTTGATGCGTCAGATTTACGTGTATAAAACGTACGACATCTTTGAAGGGTACTGTACATGTATTTACATCGTACATAATATGCTCAGCTACATGTATCTGAGTTTAGCTCAAAATTTCTCTTACAGTACTGTATGATATGTGAGCGAAACCCCACCGTTTACCTGGCTAAACATATTTTACTGAAGTTGGACGTTTTTCCCGAGCAAAGTGGTGTTGAAAGAATTTGTAGATAAATCCTCTAATACTTGTTTAAATTCTTTTTTTTATTACAGTATACTGTATACAGTTGTTTCATATACAGTACATGTATTAAAAGTATATACCCGTGCTACAACGTTGCAGAGACACCTCCTGTCCAGTCTTGCTCCCCTTAGTTGGGGTTTCAAATCCTGCTCTTGGCGTTGTAGTCCGCAGGTTGACCGGCTATCAGAAGAAGACCTGTTCGGTATACCAGTTTCATATCGCTCAGCAAATCGTGCTACCACCAGTCGATATTTGCGCTAGGTTTACCAGAAAGATTAGTATCCCCATTCCGCTTTTCGCAGCCTCAGACTCGCATCGCGCTTGAGACTCAAGTTGATTGACTTCCTCAAACGCTTTCGCGACCAACTTCTTCGCCGCGAACCACTTCAAGATGATTCGGTCAAGAGTGGTACTCATCATTTTGGCTGCCATTGCCAGCACCACCAACACGCAAGCCATCGACTGGACCTTTTGGAACGATGACGACGACTCGAGCCCATCGCCCGCGACGTCCGACACGACCTATACAGAGACCCTGTCTCCAGAAACACTCAACAACATGATGGGCTCCGATTACCTGGACCGCGTTAAGTCTTTGATTTACTCCGGAAAGGGGTCAAAAGCGGACTCGGACTCGGGCTCGTTACCTGATGTCGGTCCATTGGCAGGTTCGGCTTCAGATCCGCCTACTTCTACATCTTCGTCGTCTGCCTCGTCGCTGGATACGGACGATGATGCTGCGTCTACCGCTTTGTCGCTCCCGGGGTCTTCTAATTTAGACGTGGCCATGCCTTCGATGGACGAGGTCGCCACTCCTTCAACCGCCGTAACTGATTTTAAATCGACTTACCGCAACTGGGTAGGACCTTGGAGGCAGTCCGCCGACTCGGCTTGCTACCGTGAGGCTCATTTTATGAAAACGTGTCCGACCAACTATGACCGCAATGAATTGACGAGTACGTGTTGGACGGAGTGCCCCATGGACTACCCCGTGGAATGTGGTATGCAGTGTATCCAACAAAATAATGACTGCGGTCGCGAGAACGCCGCCAAGATCTCCGCTGTGGCAATGGGCGCCCTCAGTAGTGCCTCCTTTGGGATGTTCGGCCAATTGGCCAAGTACGGAAAGCACGTGAGCTGGGCCGTCGTATGCGCCAATTACCTCATGGCCTTCGTAAGAGCTGTCATTCGTTTTACGCGAAACCAATTGGTAAACGAACCGCAGACGTCGCAGGAAAAGCTTCTACTGCTGCTGTACCAGACGAACTGGGTCGTCGCTGACCTGCCAGGCACGATCTACGCGTGCTCAGGAAGGAGTACTCCGCCAAACCTCCAGCTAACACGCCAGCTGATGCCCACTGCTCAGCTAGTGCTTCTACTGGTGGTCAACTATGATGACGAAATCATGGAAAGTTGGGAGAGATTTAAAGCTTTTATGAAGAGAGCCAACTTCACGGAAGCGGCCGATCAAATCACCAAAGGTGAGATCTCAAGTCTGGAAACGGCTATGAAGCAGAACTCGACGTGTGGTGACGACCTCAAGACGCTAACCACCCAGGTTTGGTTGACGGTGAACGAGTACAGAGAGAAGAACCCAAAGATCAGCAAGGGTGAACTCCGTCTGAAGATGAGTGAATCGGACCTCATTACGTACGAGATCCCCCGGGTAACCAACAACTGTATGCCCAAGATGATCTCCGAGTCTAGTGTCGCTACCGCGTACAAGACTCGAGAAACGCTTCGCAAGACGTACACAGTGATGATCAACGATCTCACCAAGTCTGGCAAGAGTGACAACGGTACATCCATGGCCGCGAAGTACCAGGCCTACACATGGCTCCGTATGAGTCTCTTCCTTGCGTCGTTCGGTTGGGACCCGACGGATTTGTCCACTATCTTTTCAGAGTTCTTGCAGACTATCTGCGGTCCCACCCAGTTCATGGGTGAAATCGACGACGGAAATGAAGCTGCCACTCTGGGAATGAATGCGCTTCACAAGGCCTTCAAGAACAGTACTCTATCTTGGAAAAAGAAAGGTGACGGGGCGGTCATTGTAAACTTCAAGAGCAAAGATACGAAGGACGTCACAATTAATATAATGTCTGGTGGCGACAAGATCGACGAAATTGACCTCAAGGCCGGGGGAACAGCCCGGTGGAGGTCAAACGTTACAACACTAGGGGGCAAGACACTGTACCTGGATCGCTGGCGTCCAGGCTTCCTTGGTCTCCCTGGCACGGGTGGCGGTTCCCTGGTGTTGTGGGTTCCCATTTCACGTCAAGGGGGCCATTTGGAGGTCACTGCCCAGCTCAACGTGAGCTAGAGAAATATAAACTAGAGTGTGCTAGTAGTTAGTTTGCAGGTTAGTAGTCCAAAGGGCACTAGAATTACTACCATACATCAAAGTAGATTAACATTCTTTTTTCCGTGCGCTCTGGTAAAAAAGTCTATACTATTAATACCCACAGAGCGCGTATAATACCACTGTCAACTGTCAAACGAAGTGTACACCTTTTCCAGTCCAAAACAAAACTAAATTCATCAGGAACAAAACCAAATGCACCCAATCCCAATTCAAATGCATAAAGTGCAAACTCAAATGCACAAACCTAAGAAACATGATGACCACATTTTATTCATTAAGGTAGGATGTAAGGCTTGCAAAGATTCCCGCCACCGCGCGCCAAACTGAGCGCCTCAATTCCGCCAATCCCCCTCCGTTCATTACGATTCCACCAGTTGCAGTGCCTTCTTCGTTTTCCTTTGGGCTCGCTTGCTTCGATTTCACGTAACGCTTATGACGAGACGCAGAGCGGAGATCATTGCTGTTCCACCTGGAACGACAATGAAAGCGCACCGCCGGAGTTTTCTTGTTGAAGCTGCAGAGACCGTTTTCCCCCGTGTTGCGACGGCGGAACTGTGTGCGTCGTGCTACCGTCACACTCTGTCAAAGCACTCGAAGACATGCCTGTAGGCCGCTAAGCGAGCACACTTGCAGTGTGACGACGCAACTCGTAGCGTATGTGAGAGGGTATGCGGTTTGGATGTTTACGGAACTTGTTTTAATTCATTTGAGTTTGCACTTTATGCATTTGAATTGGGATTGGGTGCATTTGGTTTTGTTCCGGTTTTGCTCTTTGTGAACTTGGACTGGAAAAGGTGTAGTAATAACGCTTCAGCAGCACAGAAAAGTATCGTTTTTCGCTGTAGTACTTTGTTCCACAGTAGTACATCCTTTGTAGTATAAACTTTGCAGTGTGCAAAAAAATTAACGTAAATGCTATCGTCCATGCGCTGAGTATCAGGTGGCCATCCATGTATTGTCCAGGCTGTAAAATTACCGACCTGAAAATTATAAATTACGGGTTGTGTAAAATACATGTATTATGCATGTAAAATGTCCATGCTTCTCAACGATTTTGAGGGCTACCACAGCCACTCACTTCACTTTCGAAAGCCGGAGCTTCCGGTACCGTCGTCGTTGTGCACGTCGTTGCCGCCCTCCCCCGCTCCGATATGTCGGATAGCAAGTCTGAAACTCCCCCACTGGAGCCTCCCGCGCCCTCTTCACTGCCGACGCCGCCATCACCGGCCCCAGAAACCGCGACAGGTCAGCCAGAGGTGCGTTGCATAACTACCTGATCTCATACGTACGTCGGTTTTGCTAACTACGTGCCCTCAACAGGCTAGCTCGAGCGAAGAGGCGTCAGATGCTGCTCCTTCCGCTTCTACGAACTCTGCAGAAGACTCTGAGAACTCCGACGAGTCGGGCACCGACAATGCGGAACGTCCATGCAGCGTCCAGGTTTCAGATTGTCCAGTGCCTGTTTGTGCCCCGGAAGCCGTTCACTCAAGCTGGGCCGACTAAGCGGTCGATTTGAAGAAGTAAGCATCTTCAACGCGGCAGATCATCCGAGTTTCCATGACTGTGAGCTGCGACTTGCGGAACAAGCGGTTGGCTAAACCTGTCACTGCACGAGAAGGTCTTGACGTACCATACGTTCCGACCCAGTGGGCAACGTACCAGCGCACATATATTTGTACGCATGGGTGGCGGACGAAGGATCGGAGCACAGGTGTGCGGCCGAAGCAGTTTGTTCGTGGCACTGGGTGTCCTTTTCGGTTCGTGGTTCAAGTCGTGGAAGAGGAAGGCCAGTGGCTGCTTCTGTAACGGGCCAGGTATTTACTCCGTTACTTGCTTACACTTTAGTGTTGAGGAAGCTCGCAATAGGACGACTGAGTCTTAGGTTTAAGGAAAAATCAACTCTGACTTTATTTTAGGACCAAGGCCACAGCCCTGGCCACTCAAATACACGTCATAGTCCAATTGGCTAATAATGGGTCTGGCTCCCCATATATCAGCCAATGGCATGACAGCATTTCAGCACACGCTAGTCGTGTGCTGATGCACCTACTTTTGTAAAGAAATCTACCTACTTATGTAATGGAGGGGCCCATTACAGCTTCGAGTGAAGAACGGGGTTTACCACCACACTGCAAAGACCGGAAGACCTCGTTTAAATACGAAAGAGCGCGAGGCCGAAGACAAGAAGAAACGGGCACTGTTTAACGAGTCTGAGGAGCATCGCCGAAAAATGGGGGAAGTTACTCTAGTACAGCTTGCTCAAGATTTACAAAGGATGAAACCGACACTCCAGGAAACGCTAGACCGCGTAAGCCCAATTCCTACCAAGTGGGATAGAGCGAGTGACAAGAAACCGAAGTATGTTCGACAGAGCGCCCCTGTGCTGAACGACAACGCGTTCTATCTTCTCCCGAAGAAGCTGCTCGACAAGTGCCTCTCCGTTCTTCCAGTGAAGAACACAAGAGAGACTGCAATCGAGATCTTCACCCAGAGCCAGCCTTCGCAAGCTGAAAGTGATGACACTCAATTACCTGGACAAGACCTGGAGATTCATGGACAAAACCTGGTGATAGAATGTGTTCAAATTTCAGGTATTGGAACATATACACGAGCCCATATTGAGGCAATGTGTTATCTGTCGACTATCTTAAACATCTACTGCAGCAACCTGTCTGTCCGTCACACTAAATTGTTGTGCCTGTCACGCTTTTCCGGACAAATCATTGGATAAAATAATTTACATATTCCTACTGGCTGCCGAGCGCAGCGAAGGTGGCCCCGATTGGCCTAAAAGCTGCCGAGCGCAGCGAGGCGGCCCAAATCGGCACCTTCTGCAACCCTGCGGGCCTTTGGGCCCGCCTGAGCCAAATCTGCCAACCTACCGTGCGAGTAGTGAAGCGAGCCCGTGGCGAGCGGAACGGAGGCAAAATACAAGGAACGACATTCATTCTTTCCCGCCGCGTAGCGGCGGCACTCGGCTAGTGAAGGACCAATGCGAGCAAGGTGTCAAATTCTGCACTTGGCTGCTTCAAAACGTGATAAGCACCATACCTTCAGTGCAACATCCTGTTTTGGAAAACATGGTAAACCAAGTGGCGAAATCGAACCCACAGAGCACAATCGTGATCGAGGCCACTGAGTATCACTACGCGATGCTATACCGCTTGAAGCCACCATCCTGGGCGAACGACGCCTTGATCCATGCTTTCTGCACAATACTGTGTGCAACAAACCCTACTGCTCGTGTTCTGGGGATTGAGAGCACGGTGACGGGGCATTATGCCAAGGGCATGAATGAATCCCTCAAGAAAAAAGCGCAAGAGCTGGTGGGAGAGACAGACCTCCTTATGATCCCGGTTAACGTTGGAAATTCGCACTGGTGCGGAATTGCAGTAGATGTGAAGCGAACTCGAGTCCTTTATTATGACTCCATGAACCAGAGGACTTATAAGACTGTGCTGGATCGACTGTCCTGGGATTTGGCGAAAACCCTGAGCGACGACTATGAGGTTGTATCCATCAACGCGCCAATTCAGACGGACGGCCACAACTGTGGTTTCTTCGTAATGCTACGACTCTGGCGAATGGTAGACAATAGCATTGCGCTGGATGTGACTCCAAAAGGTCTCACGATATTGCGCTTTCACATGCTTCAGCTAGTGCTCCATGGTAGATCTAACTTACCCATCTAATTTGAGTCTAAATACACGGAGGATATCTGACCAATGCATGGACTCGATACATGGACTAAAATACTAACGTTACCTGTGTTCGTGTTCATGCCTAATGCACGGGTGATTTATGGATTGTACGTGGACTCAATACATGGACTACAAAATTGACAATGCAACTTAGCAGCAACTTGATGCGGTGAATAACTGATCGGCGATAAATACTTGATTTCAGTATGGATATAAATTACGCAGAACGTAATTTATGGACAACACCTGGCGTGGCTGCATGGTAAGACAGTAGCATCTGCCAAAAATTAATACATTCCTGAAAATGTTGAGACAAGTAAAGGCTGATTTTATCAGCAGCACGCTGTTTAAATATTTTACAAATTTAAACTTATCTGGAGAGAATCAACAAAAAGAACCGTTTTGGAATCGATACGATAGTATATTATGGTATTGTAATTTTAGCGCCTTTTTGGCGACTTTACTAACAGCAGAAACACTAGTTTTAACTATTCTAGCTCACGTTGAGCTGGGCAGTGACCTCCAAATGGCCCCCTTGACGTGAAATGGGAACCCACAACACTAGGGAACCGCCACCCGTGCCAGGCAGACCCAAGAGACCAGGGCGCCATCGGTCCATGTACAGCGTCTTGCCACCAAGCACTTCGATAGTAGACCTCCACTGGGCAGTGCCCCCAGCTTTAAGCTCGATTTCGTCGATCTTGTCACCACCGGACTTGATGTTAATGGTCACGTCCTTGGTATCTTTGCTCTTGAAGTTCACAATGACGGCACCGTCACCTTTTTTCGTCCAGGAAAGCGAACTATTCTTGAAGGCTTTATGGAGAGCACTCATGCCCAAAGTGGCGGCTTCCTTACCGTCATCTACTTCGCCCATAAACTGGGTGGGGCCGCAGATAGTTTGGAGGTATTCGGAAAAGATAGTCGACAAATCCGTCGGATCATAACCAAATGAAGCAAAGAAGAGAGCGTTACGAAGCCACGTGTAGGCCTGGTGTTTCGCGGCCATGGATGTACCATTGTCGCTCTTGCCAGACTTGATGAGGTCGTTGATCATCACTCCATAAGTCTTGCGAAGTGTATCGCGCGTCTTGTACGCGGTGGCCAAAGAAGACTCGGAGATCATCTTGGTCATACAGTTGTTGGTCACTGTGGGGATATCGTACTTAACAAGGTCCGACTCGCTCAACTTCAGACGGAGGTCACTCTCTTTGATCTTTGGGTTCTTCTGTCTGTGTTCGTCCACTGTCATCCAAACTCGGTTGGTCAACGTCGTGAGATCTTCGCCGCACGTCGAGTTCTGCTTCATACCCGTTTCCAGACTTGAGATCTCGCCCTCTGTGATTTGATCAGCTGCCTCCGTGAAGTTGGCTCTCTTCATAAAGGCCTTAAATTTATGCCAACTCTCGAGAATTTGGTCATCATAGGCCAACACCAACAGAAGGACGAACTGAACAGTGGGCATAATCTGGCGTGTCAGCTGAAGAGACGGTGGAGTACTCCTGCCTGAGCATACGTAGATGGTTCCTGGAAGGTCGGCAACGACATAGTTCGTCTGGTACAGTAATAGTAAGAGCTTCTCTTGCGACGTGTTGGGTTCGTTGGTCATTTGGTTACGCGTGAAACGGATGACAGCTCGCACAAAGACCAAAAGGTAATTGGCGCAATTTACAGCCCAGCTCACGTGCTTCCCGTACTTGGCCAACTGACCGAACACACCGAAGGAGGCACTACTCAGGGCGCCCATTGCCAAAGCGGAGATCTTGGCTGCGTTTTCGCGACCACAGTCGTTGTTTTGTTGAATGCACTGCATGCCACATTCCACGGGATAGTCCATCGGACACTCCGTCCAACATGTGTTTGTCAGTTTGTTGCGATCATAATTGCTCGGACACGTTTTCATAAAGTGAGCTTCACGATAACAAGCCGAGTCGGCAGACTGACTCCAAGGACCGACCCAGTTGCGGTAAGTTGATGTAATGTCGCTAACAGCAGACAAAGGAGTCGCGATCTCGTCCATCGAGGGCATTGCCAAGTCCAAACTAGAGGAGCCGGCTAGGGACAGGGCATTAGATGCAGCGTTATCATCGTTCGTATCGAGGGAGGAGGCAGAGGACGAAGCAGTTGAAGCAGGTGCCTCTGAAGCTGAGCCTGAAGAGGAACCCACATCGGGCAATGAGCCAGAATCTGAGTCGGCTTTTGATCCCTTCCCGGAGTAAATTAGAGACTTGACACGGTCCATGTAATCAGATCCCATCATATTCGTGAGGGTCTCTGGAGACAGGGTCTCCAAGGACGTATCGGACGACGCGGGCGAGGGGGTCGAATCGTCGTCATCGCTCCAAAAGGTCCAGTCGATGGCTTGTGTGCTGGTGGTGCTGGCAATGGCAGCCAAGAAGACGAGGGCTAGTCTTGATCGTTTCATCTCGGTGTGGCTGTGACTGGAATGTGACCGCAAAGAGTTCGAGGAAGTTGCTCAAGCGCGAGTGGGTTCGAGGCTGCAAAATGCAGAATGATCCCATCTTGGTACTTGAAGCTCGTGGGCTCCTTTTGGAGTCCTGCCCCGTCGGGACTGGGTTGTGCACGACGACAGGCGGCAACACGATTTGTGGATAAACGGTGATGTGCAAACTATCGAGCCGGTGACCCCGTCAGGGGACTGCAACACTATAAAAGAACCGGATTAAAAAAAGCAAACGAGAGGGCCAAGACCAGACACAGCAGCAACTTTGTCGTCGTGATTGAGCTTTTATCTGTATTCTTTCATGCAGTACTGTGCAGTTTACTGTACTGTACATTGTTCTGTGCCAGTTCGAGTTGTCAAACACTTTTCGTAGTTGTCAGTGACACCACATGGACCAGGACCTCACAATCGGAGGAGTATCGTTTAACCGTTTTCAGTACAGCAAAGTGGGTCACATCTCACGGTACGACAGTACAGAGGCGGACGAAGGCTGGAACGGCGACAACAAGGATGAAAAGTCCCATTTTGGAAAATGTGCATTGTACAGTATCAGGATATTGGCAATGCGTCTCCAAGTGCCCCTGGCGCGCTTTCAAATCTGTATACCAAACGAAAGTCGAGAGCTCTATTTCATTTTACGTTTTCCAGCAACAATATATGATTCGCAGCATATATTGTTAAATCGCTACCTGCGAGCGTTAGGATCACTCTACCGATCATAAAAGCGCTACTAGCGTGATCTGTTCTCCATTGCTGGCAGGTTTGTAAGCTGCCCCACATGCACTGCTACTGTAGCACGTTCTTAAGTAATACGATTTTTTGCTAGACGTCGTGCTTTTTTTAAGACTAGGAAATACGGGTGAAGTTTGCAACTACAGTAAATGTTAAACTTACTGCGCTCCATTGATCACACCTGTATCACAGTTAGGTCATTGTTCGACCAGATCAGAACAGTAATGAACAAGACATTCGGACATGTTCATGATGGGCCTCTTACCGGTAAGCTAGTACATGTAGCTTGCTAATTACATGTGCCCGCTTTTCAAGTTTCGATCATGTAGCTACATGTACGACAACCCCTCGCAGTTTTTCAGCTTTACTTTTGTCTTATCGGTCAATTAAAGTGTTTGCGTACCACTAAATTCAACCAGCGGCCGGTACCTCACCTTAAGCTCAACAAAATATTAAGTATCTACAGAAGTTACGACCAATTTAATCTTAAAATGGATCAGAAATTCCTACGTAAGGGCTTATTAAGTGTACACTTCATTACGTACTCTTCACGTGTTGCCACCGCCACCATGTTGTGCGCTTTACGGACCAATAAGCGCACCGGAATACTTCACGAGTGCAGCGTCACTCAGTCCTCATGATATAAAAAGGCCAAGGTTTAGTACTGTAGCTTGATCAAATGAAATGGTATTAATAGTTCATCAGTGATGGACCATCAACTCCATCGATGAGCTTACCGTGTACATGTACACTGTACTTACATGTACATGCTAAGCTGATCGCTACAATACTCCACGAAATGGCAGATTAAACCTTGTTATATGTAATACGCACGTCGTTAATCGATCCCCTACTTATTTACCAACATAAAGTCACCACTTCTTTAGTCACCCATTCTGAAGATAACCCATTTCGTTTGACCCTTTTGTGACTGATGAGATTTGGTAATCGCACATTTGTAATCCAACCTACATGTACAGTACACGTATCTTTGGCAAGGTTTATTTTTTATACAGTATTCTTGTGGAGGAGACCATCGATGAAATACATGCACCTGCAAACGCCGAACTTCTCCTTTTTACGGTAAATTGTCGACACGAGTGAAGAGGAACGAGTTAACATCTAACATATCATCGCCCTTCAGCGGGAAAAGGGTCGGACTACTGTAGTGTCCTGTTTGAAACCAAAATTTATAGCGTTTAAAGCAGACCTCTAAGCAAGAAGGAGCCCGCACAGTCAGCCACGAGCAGAATATTGCTTCAACATAGCATCAGGCGTTGATCCATGCCATCCGCTTCTTAGGAAAGCAGCTCAACACAAAGAAGGTTGTTTTGGGGGTCCAACCAGTGATGGCAGAAATGGAGTAAAGGCGCCTTTATGGAAGTTTAGGCGAGTATAATTCTCAGCTACTAGAGCGCCGTTTCGCAAACAAACGGCTGTTCTGTAATGCTGAAACTTAGCGCAACGTTTCTACAAAGTTTCAACCGTCAATTCAAAGTTTTAACAGAAATGATATTTTTGAAAAGGCGCCATGTGCCATCACTGGGTCCAACCAGTTCGTAAGCCCATGTCGGGTGGCGGTAGTGAGCAACAACAGCCACAACGAGAGCACAACATAAGTACGCATTCAGTGAGTCTGGAAGGCTGCTGGCCATTCGTCTCTAGGTCTTGCTTGCCCCAGCTCATATCTCAAACATGCCCCTACAGTACACTATTAATAGCGATTGCTCAATCTCAAGTTCGTTGCAATTTGCCACTGGCAAAAAAACTGCTCCCTGCTCAGCTACGATTGACAGGAAAAACATCATGGTCGCCAGCTGGCGCACCAGATGATCCCAGTTGAGATCTGTTCGTCGACGACGCCACGTCCATGTTTTTCCATATCGCTTGGTTTCTTCTGACACAGTGAGCGTCGACGCATTTGCGCAGTTGCATTGGCCGCAGAGGCATCGATGGCAGACGACATACATGTACAGTGAGTCATTGAGACAGTAAGTGGAGAGATACCGCTTAAGAACTCGTATATTGTACAGAACAAGAACTGTAATAACCAGTGCTGTATGCGCCCACATACCGCCGGTATTACCGGATCAGTACTATAATACCGGTAAATACTTTTCGTGCGTTTGCGTAAGAGAGTCGGATAAACAAATCGCATTGTTGAGTTGGATTCGGCAAAAATGTGTTGAATTTGAAATTGGAGCTTTAGAACATTTAATGTATTTTAAAAGTTTAAAAAAAAATATTTTGTGCATGTACAGACAATCCCCTCAGTAGTAATCCCTACACCTGTTATACACCCTCAATTCCAATAAAAATGCACAAACTCATGACCTTAGCTGTAAAATGGAGAACATTACATGTATTAGGCAAGTATTCGTATTTTGGTACTTAACCATGAGAAAGCCCCTGCTTTACAGGTAACATCTTTTAAACGATATTTTCACGCGTGTTGCTGGCAGTCCTCTCACTGCTTACACGATATCCGAAGATACACAAAAACTTTAACAATATATGGATACCAGTACGCTCTGACAAGTTGTCAAGAATAACGTTTGTCAGTGACAACCCAGACCTCTACAACCACTTGTTAAGTGATGCGCGGTCGCTGCACGCGACGGAGAGTAGGCACCAGGAATAAGCTGAGATAGCGCTAGTTACACTGCTAAGCCTAACATGGTTTGGCTAATAGGCCACAGGCGCAAAAAGTAAGAAATTTGCGAATTATGGGCGGATACCTTTAATATCAGTGATATACACGATACAACATTATTGGGTGCGAACAAAACCGTTTATGCAGTAAAGCCACATCATTGATCGAAGGCGCGATAATTATGGATCTAACTATGTAAATTTGAATGTAACCTGTAACACTGATATATCCACAACCATTTTAATTTAATTCTACTTGTAGCGAGATGCTGATTTATCTATGAAATTTACAAAAAGAACATGAGCGTCGATTTTAGGAGGCAGAGTCTTAAGCTCCACGCACATGGCTCATATTTTGTGTTTTAACTGCTACTATTGTAGTGAGTAGGATGGAGGTTGACAGTCTTACGACAAGCCTCGCCGTTAAAGTACACGACCAACCCGGTATTAATAGAGTAAATTTGGCGAAAGTCGCGATGTAAGGTACGTGATTCGTAGGATCGTACAGAACATGTACTGTACATTGTTTCTGCTCCGACCAGACTTAAATTAAAATTCATTCGATAAAGCAATGGAAATGCGAGAATGCAGCCCTAAAACCGACATTATTAAGATAGTTAAGTTGAATTCGTTCAACTCTATTTTCCGTGAAACAGACCAGCATATACAAAGACAAAACGTTTTGCGACTGTTACACTAAAATCCATCGTTTTGAAACATCCTGCGATGGAATTCCCTTAAATAGGAATAAAATGGGGCCTCCTGACTATTAAAGTAATACCGAGGAGATTGTCTGTGCCGGTATGGTCAGTCCGGTGATCGGAAGCACCTTTCAGTTGAAGCAAGTTCGTTGAAGTGTTCAAAGCATATACAGTGACGTTGCTGCTTCAATGATTTGCATGTTCCTTATTGAAGAGTCTGGTACGAGAGCATACGCTTTTCTAACCAAAAATAAACACTTTTTGGTGAACGGTAGACATAATTTGACACGACCAAACACTTATGCCTCGAGCTGACCGCTGGCATACACTTTTCTGACCACTAGCAAGCACTTAAAGAAAGGACGTGAGCTCTTTTACGTACGTCTGCACTTTCCGCGCGGAACCTGCACAAAACGGGCGAAACGCTCATAATTACCTGACTTTGTCAATTAATTCTGAACCGCTGGTTCACATTTACCTGACTTTGTCAATTAATTCTGAACCGCTGGTTCACATTTACCGGTACCTGACTTTGTCAAACCGCCCGTTCATAATTACCGCTCCACAGTTCAGTGCAACCATTGAACAAAATAATGCTAACCACCAAATCGATAGAAAAGGTATTAAATTTGCATGGAAAAACGTTTGGTGCTAAGCACAATTTTTGTTTGTCCTAAAGAACACATTTGTAGGGATATAAAAAACTTAAGCCCGCTTACGCTGAATTTGTCTCTACTACTCCGTCTGGCGAATAATTCTGAACCTCAGCCTAAAGGGTCAGATACTCTCCTACCTGACCACCACCCAAACGTCTGCACGATGCCCCCCAAACTCTTCTGGACCAAGCGTGCCGAGCTGCATGTCGAGCCCGACTTC